AATCTACCCCTGTGGATGAAATTGCAAACTCCCATGACACATTGATGAAGCGTCTCCGGATTATTAATATCTGCTGCATAAATCAATTTTTTTTCGTGACCCCACAGATAAAAATCCAAACGATTGATGTTGAGGAACGTGCAGACAATGGAACCGGTTATCTCTTACCTATCCATCTTTCATAGTAGATGTTAGCCAGTGCATGACGAACAATATGACTAAAATTGGCTGGAGCCCTATCATATATGAACCACATGCGTCTTCGTATAGCAGGGGTACATCCTCTAGCAGGTCTGGAAGTGTGTTTGAAATAAAGCCCCTGTAGACAGCTCATCTAAGACGTGCTGGGAGAACATATGGACCTACCAGACAGTTACATGCAATTCCAGCCCACACATTAATCGTAAACTGATGCGGGTGTACCGTAAGGATTCTGATCCACCCCAAATTTTTGGTTGTGTAATTTTGTTATTCCATCTCTTCCAGATGTTGCCTCATCCATAAACAAGACTGAAGTGTCAAACAACGGATCGGCAGTTTATTCAATATACTATCTGCAAAAGTCCTCCCGTGGTGTGTGATTAGAGGGCAATGTACAACATGCTAGGGACACTGTGTTGATATCTGGATACCGACAGTATGGAGAATCTGTTCTTAGTGGTAAGCCGTAAGAGCGGATCTCGGTCTTCTTCGATCCATAGTTTGTTCTGCCACGGATCCTGTTTCAACAACGCTACGATAAACAGCAGAAAAGGTTCGATGACTCGTCTGCTTTCGGACTCGAAACGCAACCTGATACAGTTGTGCAGCCTCGCGTCCATTACCAGTCGCGCGGCCGTATGTAAAAATCATATCTGCCTGCTCAAGATATGAATGTCCTGTCATTGTTAAACGGAACACTTCTTAATCAACTCACTACTACACACGTTAAACGTTGAAGACAGACTAGCCACTAAACTACACGAAAGACAAATGTAACCTAGTCTACATGGCAATACAGTGCCATCTAACGTAAAGTTTCTTTAATTTTTTTTTTCATAAAGGGCCGTGGAGATCTTCCTGTCTTGTCACTTTTTTGTGTGTATATATATCTAAATATGTCTGGGTGCTTATGTATTATAATCTGAGTGTGTTTGTGTTGTTTTGCGCGTGAGTTTAAGACCCCATTCACACACTTGGGATTAAAATGTATATATGGATGACCGGATATTGTAGCGTCTGTTCTAACGTAATTTCAACGAAGAAATAAATTGAATAACATATGTATTTTTTCTTTTCTCCTCAGTAATTTTATAGTTTTTAAACTTAATAGTGATTAAATTTGAATTTTTAAAATTGGCAGTTTTTAATTTTAATATCAAATTTTATCATATAATTTAATAATAATTGGTTAGAATAAATTCTTTTTTAATATTACCCGTATTTTAACGATCTGAATAGCTATTATAACATGATTTCGTTGTCAAGCTTTTAAATCTTCCTATACTTAGGTTTTCATTGGTCATTCTAGCTTTTGTAACAACATTTTCCCCTAGCGAAGGATCGTTAATTAATTTGAAACTTTTAAAACCATTCATTTTACATTCAACATCATCACTTGATAAGACACCGAGGGTGTTGAAACAAAATGGCTATTTTTGTAGTGATTTTATAACATATTTATGTTATAATTTTTTTTTAATAATTATATCTGCTCTACTTTGTATTGAACACTCTTTTAAGAATAGTAATTGTTGGTTATTGGAATTCATTCCGTATACACCAATTATATATATATATATATATATATATATATATATATATATATATATATATATATATATATATATATATATATATAGTTTCGAACTGTTGTCCTCATTTTTACTGTCATATTCCCAATCTTTCGGATATTATGCGATTCGACCTTCTTTAAGTGGTATACGTTGGAATTTAGAACTGAAGAACACATGGCCAAGTGGATAAAAGCGTTGGTTGAGTAATCCAAAGATGTAAGTTCAATACCTCGTCAGAGCAGAGGGAACAAAACACGTGTTGAGTTACTGAAGGGAATTATGTGAGACTGAGATATGGACGAAATAAATGTTTCGGTTTGAAAATCCAACCTGAAGAAGGTCCTACCGTACAGCAATAAAGATGGAGACAACAGTCTGAATGATATAAATAGTTTCAATACCTAATCACAGAAATATATATATATTTGTCTTTTTCTATTCGAAATTCGGTAGTCGTATCTCTACTTTTAGATAGATAGATATAAATGACCATAGATAGCTTATACATATTTTATTGTTTTTATTCCAGTCACTTCACAGCGTCACAGCTTCAGCAATTTACGGGTATCTGTTACTTTATTAGGAAACATACACACGAACACAAACACACATACACACAAGGAGACCAGCATACTCTCTCTCTCTCTCTCTCTCTCTATCTATCTATCTATCTATCTATCTATCTATCTGTCTGTCTATCTTTCTAGCTATCTGTCTATCTATCTGCCTGTCTTCATCGCCTCTTGTTTCTTGGGTTTCCCCTTGCCTCTATCCTCTTTAAAAAATCCTATTAGGGACTAAAATTTAGTCTGGTGTTGAATAAAATTGGTTGCCAAGAGCGAACCACTTGAAACTCTTTTCCCACTGACCCTGCCAGCTCGGGTCGAGACTTGAACGTTTTTTTTTTTTGTTTTGTTTTTTAATTTGTTTGTTTATTTGTTTCTTATTCATTTTGTTTTTTTGTTTTTTGTTATTCTTTGCTGATTTTTTCCCTCCTTCAATCCAACTCTCCGTAATGATGCAAATGCTGAGACAGATAAAATGCCATTTTACATTCAATTCTTCTGCATTTCTTGTCCTGCCATTATTTTAGGGAAACTGAATGAAGAAAATGTTGCAGTGATGTTGCTAATGGCAACAATAGTAAATAATAATGATTTAGGTGGTTGGTGGTGGTGGCGAAAATGAAGATGATGATGATGATGATAGTGAGGGTG